GTCCTGAAGCTGAGATAGCTAATTCAGATTTTAATCCATCTCAGTCATCACAAAGTCAAAAGCCTTATGGAAGTCATGTTAAGGAAAATTCCAATCAGTCTTTCAAATCTGATACGCATTTTAAAATTTCCCCGTTTGATGGTTCGTCAAGCTGGAGAGATTTCCACACACAATTCAGGTTAATCTCCTCTATGAAAGAGTGGAATTATAAACAGAAACTTATGCAACTCATTGCCTTGTTAAAAGGACCAGCGCTTTCTACGCTGACTGAATTGCCAGATGAAAAACAGTGTGATTTTGATTCTCTAATCTTGGCATTACAGACTAGGTACGATCCTCCTCATAAGGTAGATATCTTTAAAAGTAGGTTAGAAGTTAGGATCAGGAGGCCAAACGAAAAGATAGGTGAGCTCGCTCATGATATTTTGAGGTTATGTAAACAGTCAGAACGCCCCACTGAACTTGTGTATTGGTTCAAACGTGCTTTAAATGATCATCAAATGGAAACATATATTGATACTCAAAATCCTGAAACTCTTAATGAAGCCGTTCAATTGGCAATTAGATACGAAGCTTCTCAAGAAAATAGGGCGACGTTTGATATGAAACCTTCTGTAAGGGTTGTCAATGGACAGGTATATAATTCAGTATACACTCCCAGCCAAAACAATGGTCAAGTGTCAAGTTCAGATTATTCTGTTAGTCAGGGCAGTTCTCAAATGTCTGGCCCGAGTAATGTGCAGAATCAAAATAATGATAATAAAGTGGATTTTCTCTGTAGAGCATTCCATGACCTTAAGGATGAGTTTGTAAAAAGTAAAACATTTCGTGGTACTTGTTATAACTGTGGACAGCCAGGTCATCGTTCTTTTGAATGTCGTAACGCACATGTCCCAGGGTGCAATCCCCATGGAGGAAATGTACGTCCTAGTTTCTCACCTAAAAATGTGAAAAGCGAGCATTCAAAAAACGCGTAGAAGCTCCGACCGTGGGTCAGGACGTAGCTTCTCTGTTTGAGTGGCCCAAATTTCAGCCATCTTCTTTGCATAGTGGTTTATATCTTCCTGTTAGAATTGGCGATGTCCATATTTATGCTCTTGTAGATACTGGTGCGACAATTAGTGTTTTATCCCCAGAATTTGCATCGCAGGTGTCGAAATCTATAGGTACAGATATACGCCCTTATACAGGCAGTAATATAGGCATTACAGTAGCAGATGGTAGTTCAACCCCTACATTAGGTACTTTGCAGTGTACTCTAGATCTCGGTCAAGGTTTCAAAGCTTCACAGTCTGTTTTGATAGCCAATATGCAAGATTCAATGATCATTGGTTTAGATTTTCTTAGACCTCAAAAAGCTATTTTAGATGTAGGGACAAATCTCTTGCATATCCAAGATCTAGAATTTACATGTGTCACCACATACCAAGTGCCATCTATTTACAGAGTTACAATGAGTGAAACAGTAATTATTCCCCCTCAGACAGAGATGGTATGTCCTGGTCAGGTCAATTGTTCAAACAAACATGAGTGTATGATTGTTGAGATGGCCCCCAAGTTATTAGAAAGTGAAGGTCTCATGTTAGCTAAGGCTATTGTAGACCCAAGGAATTCTTATGTTCCTTTGAAAGTTGCGAATTTGAGTAATGAGCCTCAAACTTTGTATGTAAATATGTTAGTAGGACTTGGTGAAATGTTAGAAAGTAGTGTTGTTAGTAGATAAGATGTAGGCAACCTGTATAATGGTGAAGATGATGATGATGATAGCTGTAGTTTTTTGCTTGCAAGCAACAGAGATGATGGTAGCTGTAGTTCAAAATTGAAGAAAAGCGAGAGTTATCTACCAGGCGAGAGTTATCTACCTGTTAAAGATAAAACTGTTGAAATGAAAATAAGCTCTGAACCTTCACATTTTGAAAATCTGATAGAATCAAGTAAAGAATGTCTGTCAAATGAGGATGGTGAAAAAGTTGAAAAATTTCTCAGGGGTCATTGTGACCTGTTTTCTACATCAAAGATTGACATGGGTCGAACTAATATAATTCAGCATGAAATAAAAACTGGTAATGCTCCTCCTATGAAACAAAGGCCTCGTCGAGTTCCTCCCGCTAAAAAGGCCGAAGCTGATAAGGCCTTACAGGACATGCTTGATATCGGGATTGTTCGTCCTTCTGTGTCACCATGGGCAAGTCCCATTGTTCTTGTTCCTAAAAAAGACAATACTCTCAGATACTGTATTGATTTTCGAAATCTCAATTCTGTGACATTGAAGGATGCATTCCCCCTCCCCCGTATTGATGATACACTTGATGGTTTGGCAGGAAGTCAGTGGTTTACGACACTTGATCTATGTTCGGGTTATCACCAAATCGCTATGGATCCCCGTGATGCAGAGAAGACTGCTTTCACTACTGAAAGAGGCTTGTTTGAGTGGACGGTCATGCCATTCGGGTTGTGTAATGCGGGTGCTACATTTTCTCGATTAATGGAATGTGTGTTAGCCGGATTGCAACCTGAATCGTGCTTAGCCTATCTCGACGACATAGTCATTTTCAGTAAGACAGTTGATGAACATCTCTCAAAAATTTCTGATGTATTTTCTCGGCTGAGGTCGGCAGGTCTGAAATTATCCCCGAAAAAGTGTGCAATGTTCAAACAGGAAGTTAAGTATTTAGGTCATGTAGTCAGTCAGGCAGGTGTTTCAGCAGACCCAGATAAGATTAGTGCTATACTTGAATGGCCCATTCCTAGAAAATTGAAGGATGTGAATTGAAGGATGTGCAAGCTTTCATTGGTACGTGTTCTTACTATAGGCGATTTGTTAGTGGTTTTTCTAATATTGCCAAGCCAATGTACAAGTTGTCTGAAAAAAGTGTGAAATTCAACTGGGGAGATGAACAGCAAGAGTCATTTCAATGCCTAAAAGATCAATTTCTGAAAGTCCCAATACTGGCTTATCCAGACATGTCATTGCCTTTCATACTAGATTGTGATGCATCAGGCTGTGGTATAGGTGGCGTTCTGTCTCAGATTATCGATAATGTCGAACGACCAGTGCATTTCTATTCTGCCTCATTGTCACGTCCTGAACGTCAATATTGTGTTACAAGGCGGGAACTTTTAGCGATAGTCAAATCAGTCAAGCATTTTCACCACTATTTGTATGGATCAAAATTTCTGATCCGAACCGATCATGGTGCGTTGACATGGCTTCTCAAATTCAAGTGTCCTGAAGGTCAATTAGCGCGTTGGTTGGAGGTGTTAGGTACATATGACTTTTCTATCAAACATCGCAGGGGGTCTCAGCATGGTAACTGTGATGGTTTGTCAAGACGTCCTTGTGTCGAATGTAAGCATTGTAATCGACAGGAAGAACTTGGTCGATTGTCACTTATCGAAAGTCAAAATGAGGCTGAGTCTGTACATCCAGTTGTTTCAAGAATTAGCCTAGATATGTCAATGTCACCTCAACCTGTTGTCAATGTGGTTACTCACAGTAAAGTGAAAGTGTCATGTGGCCCGAACTCAACAATTCCCGATTCCGTCTCCGCAATCCCAGAATGCAACTGGCGTGACAATTTATCGGATGTAGAATATTCAAATGCAGTTGAAACTGATCCTATTCTTTGTATTGTGAACAAATGGTTGGTTTGTACTAAGCGACCGGATTGGGGAGAAGTATCTGATAAGTCACTTGTTTTAAAGCAGTACTGGAGTCAGTTTGACAGATTGAGGCTTAGGTCTAATCTTATTGAAAGGAAGTGGATTCAAGGTCAGGAAGTCATTTGGCAATTAGTCATTCCAGATAGCATGAAAAAACAAGTACTTTGCTCTGTTCATGATTCTGTCTTTGGAGGTCACATGGGTATTGCTAAAACAGTAGGCAAAGTTCGGCAAAAGTATTACTGGATAGGATTTAAAGCTGATGTTTCACGGCATATAGCACAGTGTATACCATGTCAAAAAAGAAAATCGCCAAATAGGAAGCCCCGTGCTCATATGAAAACTTTCAATGTATCTTATCCAATGGAGCGATGTGCTTTAGATATTTTGGGTCCTTTGCCAGAGTCAGCCTTAGGCAATAAATACATTCTAGTAATTGAGGATTATTTTACGAAATTTCTCGAAGCACTTCCTATGAGAAACATGGAGGCTAAAACTGTAGCTGATCTTTTCTTGAAAGAATTTGTGTGTCGTTATGGTTCCTGTCTGTTGTTACATTCGGATCAAGGGGCGCAATTTACTTCAAACTTATTTCGGGAATTGTGCGATATTTTAGATATAACGAAGACACGTACCACCCCTTTCCATGCGCAGTCGGATGGTATGGTGGAGAGGGCCAATAGAACGCTAGAAGATATGCTCGCCAAAATTGTTTCCCCGACCCATAGAGATTGGGATTTGCATTTGCCTTTTGTGACGGCTGCTATCAGGTCCTCAGTTCACGAGTCTACAGGGTTTTCTCCAGCTATGCTAATGTTTGGCAGGGAGCCATATTTGCCATCTGATTTACTTTTAGGTCCCCTCCCCCAAACGGATGAGTCACTTCCTGTGTATTATACGGCATACTGTAATGATTTGCATGAGAAACTGTCATTGGTTCATGAGGCTGCCAGGGGGCATATCACTCTTTCTAGTAATAGGCAAAAGCGTCTATATGATGTGAAAGCTAGGGCTAAGGTGTATGAAGTCAATGATCCTGTTTGGTTACACGTCCCCGTGGTCAAGGTCGGAACGACCCCTAAGTTCTTAAGTCCATGGAAGGGTCCGATCAAGGTCAATGAAGTATTATCTGACGTTCTTGTGGTTTTACAGAGTGAGGATGGAAAACTCAAGGTCGTACATGTCAATCGAATCAAACCTTTTGTTGGGGCACTTCCTGGTTGGATGTCTGATGTAACGCAATTGAATCAAGAGCAGGCTTTGCCAGTTTCTCAGATTGAAGTTCCTGTTCTTCGTGACGATCACATTGAAATTCCAGCCTCACACCCAGATATACTCGTGGAGTTTGATCCTCTTTCTTCTTTAGGTACTTCCTCTAGGCGACCACATCGTGAGAGGAGGGCTCCTAAATGGCTTGATCCTTATGACATTTCATAATTCTTTTCTGTGCACCTTTTTTACAATACTCACTCTTTCCAGGAGAATTCCGCTCCCCGTTACCAGTGTGTACTGAAGTGCAAAAATGGGAGGAAGTGCCGGCGGCGGTTCAAGTCAGAGGAAGCGTTGGTTAAGCACCAAGCCACCGTGCCACACATCCCTGCCAAGAGGTCTATGAGGATCATAACGAGCCGACCTGTGCTGGCCCCACTATCCACACAGGAAATGGACGACATCGTCGGGGTAGAACCCACCAAGGATGACACGACGGCAGCAGATTTCTGGAAGCAGATTGTAGACATCCCGTTATCCCCAGCCATGATGTCTCCTACGTTGAATACGCCGATGTATGACGTCGACCTAGGAACACCCCCCCACCAATCTATGACTGCGTCCCCGACTGTCCTTGCGAGACCCCTGAAGAAGCCAGCACTGCCCGCGGCAACAGTGACATCAGAAGAGGGATTGATTGCGTCACACGCGACAATGCCGTCCCTGCGTCTCGAAGACTGCATTCTACCACCCCTGAAGGAGCCAGCACCACCCGCGGCAACAGTGACTTCCGAGGAGGGATTGGTTGCGTCACGCGCGACAACACCGTCCCTGCGTCACCCCATCATAACTCAAGCCATCCAGTCCATGGCACCCGGAGAGTTGCAGGCCCTGGAAACTGCCATAGGGACCGCCTGTAGAGAAAATGTAATAGCTTCTCTACAAGGACTACTAGATGATTGGGGTCTTAAGATCGTATCTAAAGGCAATCAATCTCCAGCGGAGCGTCCCCGCTCACCGTCCCCTGAGCCGGAACCAGCCATGCCCGGCGAGGTTACACCCCCTCACGAGGAGCCATTTCCACCACCACCACCACCACCTAAGAAGAGGAAAGCAGTTCTAACGGTGGCCCAGTACATCAAAAGATCGAAATACGTCATCCCCAGAAAAAGGTTGTCGTTAGAAACCCGACTACAGAAAGAGTTTGGGATCCCACCAATCAAGGCTGATAAATACGCAGACGTAGCGAACCAGAGGCTCACCTTGGAGATAGGGTCAAGCCCGACATTTGACCTAAATCTCCAAGAGTCAGAACTCACCCCTCCCACAAGAGAAGAGGTCCAAGCAGCAGCTTGGAAGCCATTCAGATAGACATTTATGTGATATGTAATCAACTAGTGACATTTGTGATACTTCAACCAGGGACTGAACAGAGACATTTTATATTTTGACATTTGTGATACTTCCACCAGTGACTGAACAGACATTTTATATTTTGACATTTGTGATACTTCAACCAGTGACTGAACAGAGTAAAACAGAGACATTTTATATTTTCACTTTTGCAGTTTTGTAACTTAGCTTTAACGACATTTTTATATACCTGTATTTATATTGTATGTACCTTTTTATGTATGGTACTATTTGTGAGTTCAGACTTCTGCTGGACATGTACCACATTTTTATTTTTATGTCATTTCTAACTATGTAAAGTTAAAGTGGCATCTGACCGTGGTAGGTCAGGTTTTCAAAAGGGGGGGTGATGTAACGAACCAGAGGTCACGTTCGGTATTTTAACGCACCATTTAGAGCGAACTTTTTAGAGTTCGCTATTTTCACGTATCGACATCGTATTTTTCTAACTTTTTATACTTTTGACCTCTGTTTCGTTATTTCATTTCACTCTTATCATTTATTAATTAGTCGTAACTTAGATATTGCATCAGGTCGATACTTTAAGTAGTTTTAAGTGAATTTGGGCAATTTTTGGTCATTCGGCTGGTCACGGAAATGTCCGAAGTTGATGACGTCACTATCCATATAAATTGTCGAGAATCTTTCGGAGCGAGGTCACTTCTTACTTTTCTGCTGAACTCACATCATTTATCGTTCTGGGAAGCTTCGTGCAGCATTATTCTTATTCGTACAAGATCTACTCTATGGTGAGCATAATACTGATAAAGCACTAAAATCACACAAGTGAGGCTCCCGTTTTGGGCACCATTTTTTGGCTGTTTTCATATTTTTACTTTTAATCTTAGAATTATCTTACATTTGAATTCTGAATTCCTAGTTATTCTCTTGAAAGCAACGACTACATCGATTGCGGTTCAGTGAATAAACGGGGTTTAAATTCTGATGATACAAATGTGAAATCATTCTAATTTCAATCAAGTTCATTCTCCAAAGTTTCTTTCTGTAGATCTATTCATTATTTTCAATCCAGAACACTTAGTCAGAGCCATGTATCTTTGACGGAGATTTTTATTACATAATCAATCTTGTCTTGCATGATTAATACTTAGTCAGAGCCATATATCTTTGACGGAGAAACGAATTAATCATATTTCATTATTTGCATTGAGAGTCGTATCTCATGAGTTACTTAGTCAGAGCCATAATTCTTTGACGGAGAAATTTATGATTTGAGGTTACAATTCAGGAGTCTAAGGGTTTCAAGCCAAAGTCATATTCCTCTGATTAAGTTCTGTTGATATTCATTCTACATATTTCAATCTCTGTTTCTACAGATTTGTGCAACTCATGAGGGAGCCCAACTCTCTGTCATGTACACAAATTAATTCTATATGCTTCTTATTTCTATAGATTTGTGCAAATCGTGAGGGAGCCCCACTCTCCGTCATGTTCATGAATTAATTCTATATATTTCTCATTTCTATAGATTTGTGCAACTCATGAGGGAGCTCAATTCTTCGTCATGTTCACAAATTGATGCTTTATTTTCATTTCTGTAGTTCAAGCAAGTTACAGTCAGAGCCATATTTCTTTGATTTCATATTGTGGCATTGGATGCATAGCTCTAATTATTGTTAGATGTCTGTTGCAAATGTCAGGACTTTGGTGAATATTCAGTTGTTGATCTTTTGACTGCTTTAGGAGTTGATTTGTTTGCTGGAGATCATTGAAGTCAGTTCCTGGTATCTTGTTTTGTGACAATTCATATTCTTACTTAGAGTGTTTGTATTTCAAGGTTAAATTATCATAACTTCTGCTTTGGCCTGATGCAATGTGTTATGTTATTATTTTAAGAGTGTGTAAGTCATAAGCTGATAGATAACACATTTAGTGTATTAGCATATATAGAAAGCTTATCTGCCAAGGTAGCCATATAGCAAGTGTGCTACCATATAAGTCATATTCACATTCCGGCCATATCATGTGAGAACATATTCGCTCTTAAAAGCGTTACACATGTTATGTCAATTTCATGATATTTTATTAGTTATCGATCAGATCAAAAGTGGATCTTTTCTCAAGTATTGAACTCAGGTGCTCATAGATCATAAGAGATCTATTACTCAGTCATTTTAAGAATAAGGGTATTGAAACAGTATTAAAACTCAGGTGCTTTTGAGATCATAAAGATCTGGGATGACAAAGTATTTATAAAGCAAGAATTCTCACTTAGTGCAAAGTTTGTACATGTTGAGGTCATAAAGACCTTCAACATTTGTCAAAGCTCATATTATTAGCAATATTCCTCTTGCCATTTTATATTATTAGTATTTTTGTACGTAGGATTATTTTTCATAAGATTAAACATTAGAAACTTAATTGCTCTATTCTGTTGTTTCAAAGGATCAGAGTTGGTAACTTGAGGTGAACATTCTTTTAACAAGTGGTTTTAGCTCAGACCTACATTTGTTATATGGTGTAAGGTCTTTATCAGACACAAAAAGTTGTCAAATTTATCTAAAATATAACCACTTTAGAGTGTTAACCAAAAGAAGTTAGATTCTGATTCTAATGTGACCCAATTTTCTATTCCTCATTATTGACCCATTACTTATCCAGGTGCCTAACTACCTCCACTTATCTCAACATTGGATCTTAACTTTCAATCTCCAAATTAGCATCACAAAACCAACAGTGTCATTGAAGTTTCAATCCCAGACTTTCAGTCTCCAGTTAATTGCTGACCAGATCAAGAGATCTCTGAATTTATAATTACCCTTCAAGTACAAACAACATCAAGAGCCTTTGAGTTATCCATAAGTCTTACATAACTTTTAAATTGAGTATTTCATGCCTATTCCATGGTAATTTCACATTCATGAAATTTAGCATATTCCCACATTTAAAGTAAATTCAGAATTGCTCATTTTCTATAAGATTATCTCCATTAGTTTTGAATATACTTTTTGTATAAAAGCCGCCATATCTACTCTAACCACTAATAATCTCACACTTTGTTCCAAGTGCTCCAGTAAATGCTCAAGTTTCAGAATACTTTCGTTCGAGTGTTCATTTAATGCTATTATTTCAAGTTTTGTTGACTTGTTGATTGTTATTGTTTACATTTTAGTCAGGTAATCTTGTTCAAGGTTAATTCCATTAGGATCAGGTCATAGTGACCCAAGAGTTCAATAAATTATATTACATCATTTGAGGTATTGTTTGCATAACATTAGGAATTGATAAAGTTAAGTGAACCAGCATTCATACACTTTTGTGCTTCTGAGCTTTATTACATTTGAAAAGGGGGCAGCACCTCCTACGCACATTAACACATTTCAAGCAATTCACATAAAGATGGCAGCATCAGTCTAAACCAATTAAACATCAATTAGTAGTACAAATATCACAACACATAAAATATCTAAATTAACAGTTAGTATATAAAACGTAACCTGGTCCTGGTCACGCTACCATTTAATTATAGTAACATCTTCTATAACAGGACAGGTCCGTTTCACTACATGCAGAGGGCATGTTTATTGTTTATAGGTCACAAAATAGCCCAGATTCTTATCAGATCACTTAAAAGTGTTACAAGAACACATGCAGTTCATCAATGTTATACAATTCACTCCATTGGACAGTAGGACTGGGTGGTTATACTACATGCAAAGGGCACGTTCATTGTTTATAGGTCACAAAATGGCACAGATTCTTATCAAAGTCACAATCATAGTGGGTTGTATTACAAAAAACACAGACTTATCTGACATGAAGAAATGTTTTAACATGACCAAATCATGTCCGTGCATTTTTAGAAAAACCTACATTCAGGTACAGTAAGGTTACCCTTACAGAAATACAGTGCAGTACAATTGTGATCGGCCATTCACAAGGCTTTACAAACATGTAAGTCAATGAGAGAAAACAAATTTGTGTTAACATTGAGAGTTTATTCTCAGGTCTTACTTACTACACGTTTATCTTATATTACATCGTTCTTACTAAATGAGGCCCATAGGCTATAAAATGAGCTTCAACACTGGTATATTGTACTTACTCAATGAGGCCCTCAGAGTTTGGACTCTGTAGTGGTTGAGAATGGAGCCAGATATCAGATCTGAAAAGACGATAATGTTAAAGTTACAAAATCACTTTCTTATGATTCATATTGAATTTTTACATTATATTATGAAAATGTTGCTCACAAAGGTGAACAATTTTAAAGAATGGTTAAATATGAGATTCTAAGTACTTTTTTAAGAGTCAACCAATTAATCAATCAACATTGAATAATTTTGAAAACATTACTTGAATTTTCTCCTGTCCATCTGTAGCATAAGCCAAGTCTTTGTCACAAGGTTGAAAGCTGGGTGACCATCAGGTCTGCCTTTGGGCTTCTTAGTAGCCACAATCTACAAAATGAAAATGTAGGTATACCCCATATATATCTCTATATCAAAACTTTTATTGCAGAATTAGGTACTTTCTGCACTCAAATTCATTCAGTCAATAAAAGGGAATACCTGTTGAAATTCAGATTTCGAAGTTTTCCCTCAGAATAAACAAAAAACAAAAGATATTATCAAACATTAAATGGCATATCAGATCTAGCGAGCAACCATATAACAGAAAATTGTCTCAATTTTGGAATGTTTTAGCTTCATATCATTCCTATTATGGTTATTTTCTAAAAATCCCCATATTACATATTATATTTGAAGATACTAACAATAATTTGTTCATATCTCAATGTTGTGGTTACCAGACTGGTACATTACCATAAATCTTTGGAAGATATCAAAGGATAACTAAGATGGTAAAAATGAATGTAATGATAGCTATAGGTCAATGGTTTTACATATGCTTGCAATTATGTCACCGTCTCAATTCAATCTCTCAAAGAAACTGCCTGGATATCCCCTTTGGCTTTAATCTGCATTGTCTATGATATCTTAATGTCCAGTGGCTATGGCTATATACCTCCACATAGGGAGCTAATCAGCTAATCCCCTTGGCTTCAGTCTGCATAATGTATTTTAATGTCCTGTCCCCGGGGGGTTCACTGTATATAAAACTCGACGGGGGTCCTAGGCTGAAGCCTCAAATAACAATATGTTCCCATACCAATCTGTCAAATTTCAATATGTTCCCATACCAACCAAAATAACGCCCAAAGGCCATACCAAATGTCCAAATATAGGACCAATGCCATACCAAATGTCCAAATATAGGATCAATGCCATACCAAATGTCCAATTATGGGACCAATGCCATACCAAATGTCAAAATGTAGGACCAATACCATAGTAAATGAAATATAGGATCAATGTCATACAAATGTGCAAATACAGGACCAATCGCCATACCTCAAATCAAGGACAAATGCCATACTGTAGTTGGGGTCATAAAAAAAAATTCTAAGAAAAATCCACAAACCCGTTGAGAAAATCAGGGATAACGGAAAATAATCGAGGTCTACCGCCTTCAAAACTGTATATTGGAATCACAGTATATCAGTCGATATAATGAACCGGCACTAACCTTTAAATATCGCTACCATAAGCTTCAAATCATTGGAAATCAACCACTTTTCGAATCGAGGTCCATTTTTCTAACTTCAAATTTGCAACTACTGGACCAATGCCATACCACGAATGTTAGGTAACGTATCTACAACGACCATTCTCATACCAGAAGAGCAAAAGTCCGACCATTGCCATACCTCAGAAGTCAGAAATTTCCGGGCATTCCCATACCAAATCCTAAAAAATATGGGTCCATTGCCATACCAAACATTGAAAAAGGTACCCCACATGCGCCGAGGATCCCCGTCAAGGTTTATATATAGTGAACCCCCCGGGATCCTGTCTATGGCTATACCTCCACATACATGACATAGATGCTTACCTCAGCTTGTTGCATGATTACATTGTCCACCTGACTTGAGATCAGCTTACGAATGGCCAGTATTTCACCTGCTATCTCCATTGACAAGACTTGTGTTTCCTGAAAGTATAAATTAATTGTCTTTTAATTGTTTTTCTCAAATTTTATGATATAAAGGAAAAGGATTTTATTGGCAATTCGAACATTACTGTATTCATGCCTTCTATAAACTGTAGACAAAGTCAATATTCCACCCACGTATTCCTCGGCACTGCACCTGGTAATAGGAGTACAGTAATGTGTGACGTCATAAAGGTGGGCCTTAGTAATGGAGGGTCATAATGAACATTCGAAAAATTTTGCTGAGTTTTCATGTTTAAATCGTAATACAGACCTAAGAGCAGGTGTTATATCGACGAATGCACAAAAGCTTTCAAACCCATCACTCCCTTCAGTTGTTAGGGGTACAGAACATATTTGTGTCTAGCCCTGCAGTATTTATAAGTCGATACACCCGCTCTGAGGTCTATATTTCCTGATTAAAATATAAACCTATCAGTGATCTCATCAGGTTTTGAGGAGTTTTCTAGCTTAAGCGGAAAAAAATAATTTGGTATATTCAATTCAATTTATTTCACAATTTATAACATACACGATAAAACATGCCGCTAAAACACCCAATATGGGCATATGTTGCAGTGTAAAAGAAATTATTATTTTTAAACTACATCTTTCTAGATAGCACTTCTATTTTGTTACATAATAATGGTATTTACAATTAATTTTAAGATGTGCCATGTAGAAAAATATAGAAAACATTATATTAATATTATTCAGAGTGAATTCTTAAATGCTACAAAAATCTAGTATAAAACCAACACAGTATAATATTAAAGGTACATTGTACTTCAGAGTGGAAAAAACAACAAAAACAAAATCTTCTGGCTTTATCTCAGACAGTAAAGAATATATCAGTGGGCCATGTTTCTTGCAATTTGACAAATCTTATATCTCGGTTTCTGCCTTTTAAATAACCACCTTCATTCACATTACGCTCTTGGCATCAAGGGGAAAGTTACATAAATGTACTTGTATGTACTTGTAAATACTTGTACTTGTAATACAAGTTCATGTGTAGTTTACTGCACTGGTTTAATTCATAGTTAACAATATTCTATAACTTAAAGGGGCAACAAGGCCTGTAGAGAGAAAATAGGAAACTTTTAACTTTTTCTGAGCTATCAAGGCAACATCTGGCTTAACATCTTCTTTGACATACCTATTTTCTTAAAATGTATGGATAAACTATCAATTTCAGCATTAATAAGTGTAAATTCAGTTCAAAGCTTCAAAAAGGGGAAATCCGCTTTTATATTTTTAAGATCCACCATGTTTCAAGAGGAATATCAGCTGAAATAATGTTTATCTAGGGGGTTTCTTAGTAGATAATAAAAATAGATGTAAGTCTTGATGAAATAGCCAAACTTAAATATATTTTGACACTGGTCCATGATCGTTGAATGGCCCCTCTGCACTAATTGTTGCAACTTTAAACTAACAAATGATGTCTGACACTAATTGTAAGTTAAGAACTAACAATGTGAATATATTATGGTGACATCAATTCTTCAAACCCAAGTTATAAAGAGTACGCCTGTAAGCCTGTGGTGAATTAAGAACACAATTATCAAAACAAAGATTCAAATCAAATTCATACTATTTTTATAAATATTAAAATTCTTTCATATATTTCCAATTATTTCTTTTCAAAAGAAAAAATTGTCATGAAATCTGTTTTGTCACGCAGACAACCAAACTTTATTCATGAACTTAGGTTAAGAAATATATTTCAAAATAAACTTGATCAAAACATATATATCCTAACTACATTTTCCATACTTTCTTTTTGAAAAGCTCAACATTATGTTTACTTAAATGTGTGCCCTTTTATTAGATGCTTATCGGGGCTTCATATTTATATGTTTCTTAGGATTTCAACATTGTGGTAATTGTAAGCCACACCTTCTCCATGCAAAGTGAGAGAGATGCTTTGAAAAGAATGTGATTTAAAAGTAGATTTATACAAAGGGCTATTTAATTTCTCGGTTTAATTCAGTTACTTTATTTAAACTGTGAATCTGAACAACTCCCAAAGGCAAACAACTTTTTTTATTATCAGTAATAATAAGTAGTATAACTATTATTTGGCTTGTAACATATAGCTGTAAGCCTGCACAAGTATATAAACCTTGATGGGGATCCTCGGCTCACAAGGGACACCTTTTTGACATTTGGTATGGCAATGGACCCAAATTGTCGGTACGTTGTCTTCTAGGGGGGATGGTGTAATGACCTTCGATAACAAGTCGCTACTACAGACTCAGCTGTAGTGGCTAGCCCTTATGGCTCAGGGGTAGAGCGTCTGACTCTGAGAGCAGAAGGTCCTGGGTTCGATTCCCGTACAGGGCAATGAATTTAGCACACTCTCTTTCGAGTCTAGTATCTGGCTCAGTATACAGCTCCCCGATGAGCGTGCCCAAGGGTCGTTACAGTAGTTACTAGTAGTCACATATGTTCTCAATTTGAGGTTGTTTTGGATCGTTTCCTCAAAGATCTGCCTTCTTCCCAGGGTTTTAGACATTTTGAATACCCTTGGTCTTATTTCTGGATAATTGGTATAGCGTTGGCCCTATATTTGGATATTTGGTATAGCGTTGGTCCTATATTTGGACATTTTGTATGACATTGGTCTTACATGTGGTATGGCTTTTGGGTGTTATTTTGGTTGGTATGGGAACACATTGATATTTGACAGATTGGTATGAGAACTGATCTGAAGGTTCAGCCTAGGACCACCGTCGAATTTTATACACAGTGAACCCCCCGGGAACACACTCCAGCTTTTCTTTAACAAAACAACCTTTTGACAATCTACAACTTTGGAATAATTTGCCTCCTGACACCACAATGGATCAGCCTATTTCTAGCTTTAAGGGATCAGTAAGAGACTATAGAGTCAAGTCTCTTAAATTCCAACCACTAAACTGAATGTGACCTTAACCAAACATCTTGAAATACCATTTAATAGACTCAGGTCTGGTCTCAATATATCAATAAGGTATGTAAGATAGTATATAAGCAATTAGAATTAAATATCACTGTCAGGGAGAAAAACCACAAGACATGGGCTCTTTAAAGAAATTATTTCATTTTTGAAGGGTTCTGGTTTCTTTTGGGTCACCCTGTATATATGGTTAAAGCTACCAACCATATTAGGAGAGAGATCTGGCAAGGAAAATTCCTTTAATGTATTCATTAAATGAGTAGTAACAACCTAATGACAAGCTTATATTATATAGCAATGAACTAATAGTTGAAAGAAAATCAGCATGAGTGCAGCATCTGAGGAAGTGTCTAAACCAGTACCAAAGACATACAGTGCATTTTTATCAGACATAGTAGGGCAGGGATGGTACCAAATTTTGCATTGTGCTGGATTCACCATTGGAACTACCTTCCCAAATTGGCAATTCTTGTCTACAAACTTTACTGCTGCATACATGAACCATTGGTGTAAAGTCCCAGAACTTCAAGGCAGATTCAATGAGACAGTTTCCAAGAGTTTAAGCATTCCTTTCACAACAGATAAATCTGATGCCGAGTTCAGTAAATGTCACATGTATGCAGTTAACTATTCTGCTTACACAGATCAAGAATTACTCAATGGAGCCCACAAAATCAATGCTACAACAACAGTGTGTGATGCTGGTTGGAATTTTGACACTTCACAGTATGAGTCTACATTAATGAGCCAGGTAGTAAATTTTCAACTATTTCTCAAAATTCTTCAGTAAATATGTTTTTCAGCGACATTTCCTCCTAGTTGTTTCAATAGCCATCATGAAGGAAATATTCCATCAACAGTTTGACATTTATTTGGCATGGATCATAAAATGTAATCAAATACATCAGGAACTTGATAAAATGCTTTTTTGCATTTTAGTTTAACCTTGTATGTGGAAATGAATACCTGACTACATTTGCTGCATCTGCACAGATACTTGGATTCCTCTTTGGTGCTTTTATCTCTGGTCAAGTTGCAGATAGGTTGGAAATAATATTTCTATATAGATATTGTAGGAATATCCTATGGTTTTGAAAAAATATCATTTATATCCATGAGTGGATATCGATATCTTCACGAGTGGGCGCAGTGGATATAAATAATATGTTTGAAAAACCATAGGATTGTTCGTTTATCCCATGGGAAATCATCATTAGCGAAAAAAATATATTTCAAAAAAATTGAAAAAAAATTGTCAAATTTTTTTCAATTTTGTTTTTAGAGAAATTAGAAAAAAATTGAAAAAAGAATTTTTAAAAAAGTGATATTCGATGGTTGGGGATTTTTTGATGAAATATGATATCTTGATCAACATATCAAATATATCTTCACGTGATATTTGATCTATATCTTTCTAACCATGGGATAAATATATATATCAAAAGCAACCCTCCCCTTTATTGTAACAAAATATCTCCTGCTATTCAATGTAGATACTCTTTCCACTTCATTACTGAGATGGATTGAATGTGTTTTTCTGCATTACAGTTTAGAGTTTCATACAAGGGAAGTACCAAAGGGTAGTATGACATCGTAGGAGGTATGATATTGACTCAAGGCTAGTATAATATTGACCAAAGGACTGAAGGCTAGTAAGATATTGACAAAAGGGCTCACGGCTAGTATGATATTGACCAAAGTACTGAAGGCTAGTATGATATTGACCAAAAAGGAGTATGATATCAACTGAAGGCTAGTATGACATTCACTGAAGGCTATTTTGATACTGACCAAAGGACTGAAGACTAGTATTATATTGACCAAAGGACTGAAGGCTAGTATGATATTGACCAAAGGGTAGTATGATATTGACCAAAGGGTAGTATGATATCTTCTGAAGGCTAGTATGTCATCGACTGAAGGCTAGTGTGATATTGACCAAAGGACTGAGGGCTAGTATAATATTGACCAAAGGGTAGTATGATATCAATTGACGGCTAGTATGATATTGACCAAAGCACTGAAGGCTAGTATGATACTGACAAAAGGACTGAAGGCTAGTATGATATTGACCAAATGGTAGTATGATATCAAATGAAGGCCAGAATGATATTGACCAAAGGGCTGAAGGCTAGTATGATACTCAACAAAGGACTGAAGGCTAGTATGATATTGACCAAAGGGTAGTATAATATCGATTGAAGGCTAGTATGACATTGACTGAAGGCTAGTATGATATTGACCAAAGGACTGAAGGCTAGTATAATATTGACCAAAGGACTGGAGGCTAGTATGATATTGACTAAAGGGTAGTATGATATCAACTGAAGGCTTGTATGACATAGACTGAAGGATAGTTTGATACTAACCAAAGGACTGAAGGCTAGCATGATATTGACCAAAGAGTAGTATTATATCAACTGGGGGCTAGTATGACATTGACTGAAGGCTAGTATGATACTGACCAATGGACAGAAGGCTAGTATGATATTGACCAAAGGACTGAAGGCTAGTATGATACTGACCAAAGGACTGAGGGCTAGTATGATATTTTATCCCACGATTAATGTGTTATCTGTACAATAACAGCTATTGATATTTCTGATATAATTGAAAACCATGTGATATTTTCCAGAAAATCGTTTATCAAACTCATATGCGTGTGATATCGTTTATCTCACGCATATCCGTGTGATATCACATTTGCATTTCGCGCCACAATATTGTTGGAAATTAGGTCAGATAATTTATTCTCTTTTGAGAAAATAGGTCCGTTGATTTATTCTCTTTAAGTTTTATTGGTGTATTGAATTACGATTGTGTATATAATTTGATTAGAAGCCTGCTAAATAACGATTAAAAATGGTATTTATGACAAACTAGCTATATCATGTACAGAAAGTATTGCATATTAAAATAAAGTGTTTCAAATATTCAATTGATTTCTAATTTCTAGTTTATATTGTCTGCCAATGTCCTGGAAATTGGATCAGAACATCACAAGGTGATTGTAATCATGGGATAAACCCAATATCACATTATTTCTCGTGATATCATTTTATCGCCTCGTAGATATCAAATATCAACACTCATTCGCTTCGCTCACTCGTGTTGATATTTGATATCAACTCGGCGATAAAAATGATATCACTCAAAATGATGCGATATTCTGTATATATTGACCAAAGGGTAGTATGATATCAACTGGAGGCTATTATGATATTGACCAATAAGTAGTAAGATATCTTCTGAAGGCTAGTATGATTCTGACCAAAGAATTAAAGGCTGGTATGATATTGACCAAAGGACTGAAGGCTAGTATGATACTGACCAAAGGACTGAGGGCTAGTATGATATTATATTGACCAAAGGGTAGTATGATATTGACCAAAGGGTAGTAAAACATTGACTGTAGGCTAGTTTGATAGAGTACTTCTTATTACTTGTTTATCCTTCACTGACATTATTTTCAGTTACATGATACATTTGTCACTAAAATACTAAAGTACTAATGTTTTAATAAATATTTTATTATCCAAGGGCAATATCAGATTGTCCAAGGATGAACTCAAATTTAATTCATCCAAAAATAAACCTTTTTTCCATAACTAAATTTATCTGAAATGTTGCAATGAACCATTTATTGAACAGAGATTCAAATTCAAAAGACCTTATACTTTCAATTCTATTGTACATAATTGTCTTCTCCATACATTTCCAGAATAAGATGATAAAATCATGGGGTAATTAATATTTACTTTCAAATAGATGGGGAAGAATGAGATCATCACTAGTGTGGACAATTCTACAAATTGCCTTTGCAATAAGTGCACCATTTTCACCAAATTACATTTTGTACCTAATTCTGAGGACACTGATAGGCATGGCTGGAATTGCAGGGTTTACAACACATTTTACAAGCTGTAAGTTCTACATACTGTTAAACAAATCTTCATTGCTTGGGAATTAATACAGGGTGTTAAAAAAAAACGCAACCCAAAGAAATCGCTATATCTGGTTCAATTATGTTCATATTTTCAGGAAATAAAGATGAGACTATGTATGTATAGCTCCTGTAAATGGTTAGTTGTAAAACATAATGCCTTGGACACCTGCTCAAAAGACAGTTGTACTAGGAAAATACGAAAATCGCAGTCAGGGGTGACTGCAACCTCAAAAAAATAAAATAACTTTCTAACCATAGTGTTTTGGCTCTTCAAATTTGGCACAAATCATTTTCATTCACTGTATGGTAAATCTGTAGAGTGAAATCGAAATCACTTCAAGGACTTTACAGTCATTGTTGAAATGCTTTCAAATCGCAGTCAAACGCCCTGGTTCAGGGAGACTTAAGAAGGCATTTTGACCATGACTGTAAAGTCCCTGGAGTGATTTTGATGAAACTCCACAAATTCACCACACATTGAATGAGGATAATTTGTGCCAAATCTGAAGTGCCAAAACACCATGGTTAGAAAGTTATTTGGTTTTATTGCTGTGGCAGTCACCTCTGACTGTCCAAGGCATCATGTTTTACAACTTACTGACAACAGGAGCTATACATACACAGTCTCTTCTTTCTTTTCCTGAAAAAATGAACATAATTGAATTAGTATTTCCCAAGATATAGTGATTTTCCATTTGTGTTTTTCGTATTTTGCTAGTACAACTCTCTTTTGAGCAAGTGTCCAAGACATCATGTTTTACAACTAACTAACAACAGGGGCTATACATACACAGTCTCTTCTTTCTTTCCTGAAAATATGAACATAATTGGATGAGTATTTTCCAAGATATAGCGATTTCCTTGGGTTGCGTTTTTTTTGAACACCCTGTACTTGAGAAAAATGACATCCCTTTCAATCTTGTGAAATGCTGTTTCCATGGGGTGAGATCAGAAGATTGTCTACTGAGGGGATCAGTTGCAGGTCATTGCCATTCAAAATATTATGATTTCACCAGTTGAAGACATTCAATCCAAGGCCAAATGTGAAGGAAAAATTGCTATACCTGCACATGTTATTCCTGGTACAAAATAAAGAATGGATCAAGGCATGTGTGTATTTCCTTGCTTTTTCAGGAAAGCATCATTTAATCGTCAGTGGTTCTAAAGTTGTTTTACTTAATGCTACACTCCATATTGAGATAAAGTATTGCATATGAGATAAATTAATGAATAATATATTGTCAAAAGAGTTTTTAAAAATCTGAAAGTGTGTCTATGTGTTCTTGAAAAATATTCTCATGGTTTTTGAAATTTTGAGAGATCTTTTGTCAGTTTGTATATGACGTTCTTTCCAATTAAGAATTTGAGTCAATGACTACACCAAGAAAGTTTGTTGAGAGGACTTGGTTGATTTTTGAATTTCTAACTTTGATGGAGATATCAACAGGAACCCATTACTGGTTAGTAGAGAATGCCATGAATGAGAATGCTCATTATTTATTCTGTGTATCTGAGTCGATTTTTTGGTCTGCAAATATGACTGACATTACAGGCTGAAATAAGATCATTTCTGTGTATGACCAAATATTGATCCCTGAGAGATGTCACACGTGACTTTATTCAGTCTAGAGCTTTCTAATTTATAATAAGTAAATTGTTTTCTCTCTGTCAAATAGCTTTCAAACCAATTGTATGCCTTGCCTTTGAATCCATAAAATGAGAATTTTGAGATGAGAATAGCATGTCATCAACAGTATCAAAAGCCTTGCTAAGATCTGAAAATATTCCAATTCTAAATTGGACTTTTCCTTGGACCTGTGGCTGAGGATTTTTCTGAAATCTATCTGTAAGTCTAATGTCTGCTCCTGTGACTTGAGGATGATTCCTTGGCCTAGACTAAAATTAATGAGACAATAGATTTTGTTCTGAGGCATTCACCTTCTAGGAAATACTGAATCAAGGTGACAATGTTTTCTTCATCTTTTATAAGAAGAGTCAGTGTATGAGCTACTTTTCGAAGAAATACTTTGAATTTTTTTACAACCATGTCAATCTCTTCCAGATATTTAGATTTCACAACCAGTGAATTCATACCAGTAAAATGAACAAAATGGGTGGCAAATCTTCAAGATTTATTTTTTTCATGAGAAAGTCTACTAATAAGTCACTTAATGAATAAGTGCACAATATGGTAAAATCTGTAGGTTCTTCTATGATTTTCAAAGGTATGAGATCTATCTAACAAGAACACAAATGTGTACAAAATGTTCCTACCAATGGGTGATCCCATCAAATGGTTATCCTGATAATGAGTAGACAAGACTTTACTGACACAATTTGAGGACAGAAAATCCAAAATAGCCGCCTTAAAATTTGCCCAGAATCCCCCAAAATTAGCTAGTTCTAGATTTTCATACTAAGAACCACCCCTGAAAATTTGAAATTAATCCGTCAAACAGTTAAACAAGACTTTACAGACAAGATTTTAGGATAGAAAATCCAAAATGGCTGCCTTGACATTTACCCAGAATGTCAAAAAACTAATCAGTTCTAGATTGTCATACTAAGAATCATCCCTGAAAAGTTGAAATTGATCTACCAAACGGTTCACCTGAAAACGCGTAGACAAGACTTTACAGACAAGATTTTAGGACAGAAAATCCAAAATGGCTGCCTTAACATTTGTCCAGAACGCCAAAAAACTAATCAGATCTAGATTTTCATACTAAGAATCATCCCTGAAAATTTGAAATTGATCTACCAAACGGTTCACCTGAAAACGCGTAGACAAGACTTTACAGACAAGATTTTAGGACGGAAAAAAACAAAATGGCCGACAATAAAAAAGTGATTATGAGTTTTTGCTGATTCTCTTTTGCAAAATTATCACATATAACTACTGTTAACAATAACATAGGCTTTTTCAACAAAGTACACCTGAAATTATTTATAAAGCTACTAAATAGTTAAAGTATGAAAACTCAAAAACACCATTCAATATGATACAAAGTATTATCGTGCGCTAACTTTTCTTAAGACATTCAAAATGGCTGACATGACTGAGCTAACAGGTCCAAAACCTAATCAGATGTAGAATGAAGTGAGCTGAACAAGATGTTAAAGTTTTAAAAGCAACTATGAAGCCGTTTTTCTTAAAGTTTGCAGACAAGGATTTTAGCATTTGACCTCAAAATGGCCGACAGGAAGTAGCTATCAAGTTAATTTTTTTCATCCACATCTGTATGCACTCACAAGTTATTCCTGAAAATTTGAAGGTGATACCTGTAGCGGTTTTGGAGAAAACTGCCGGACGTACGGACGGACAGACAGACAACCAGATGGACAGACAGACAGACAGACAGACGGACGCGCCTAGGACGACAATATGGCCCCACACTATGTGGTGGGGACATAAAAAGATGCCATCAGTCATCAGTTTGCACAAATCAATCATTTTACGATTAGTCTACACAAAGTAAAATATGAAGTTAATTATCATCATAAAATGTTGCTGTTACAAAACATTGTGAAAATTAAATAATCAAAATAATACGGTGAGGAGGTGGATTATAAGCTAAGTACAATTATTTAGTTTAGTTTTAGTTATTTCATTTATCATAACAAAATTATCAAATACATGAATTGTGAGGTTTTCAAAGCCTTTAAAAAGCAAATCATCTCCATTCTGGACAAATCTTCGGATTATGTACATGACCATTCTGTACTCCATGATGCATGTGATTACTTAAAATGGTATGAACAGTATATCCTCGAAAAAGATTAAATGTATGTATGAGTATGATCATTGAGATGATTTCCAAATTTGAATATGGCAGTTTTTCAAAGTGCATAAAAATAAATGTGTAGAATTAGAGTTAATGCCATTTCTAAATATGCAGGCATAGAGGTTCTTACATCCAGTGGTAGGAATACATTTGAAATTGCAAATACTGCAACCAGCATCATTGGACTTGGCACATTACCACTGACTGCGTTCTATGTGAGGAACCATATTACTTTACAAATTATAGCAGGAGGACTAATCATCTTAACTGCTGTTATACGATGGTAGATATTCAATAATTCATAAAATCCATTCAATTTATGATCATAATAACTGATACACGTAGTTGTTCATTCAATTTAAAAAAGTCTAATAATTTAAAAATTAAATTTCTTATCTTGCTACATTTTGAAAACCCACATTGCAAAAATCATTGATTTTTTTACTCAATATATAAGCTCAAATGCCAAAGGTAAGAGTGACTAAAAACTTTAAAGAAACCCAACAAGAAAAGCAAAATGTAAGTGTAAATCTGTCATAAGAAAAGTAAACCCTATATATCCCAAAACCATGATCTAACAAATGATCAGATATAGACCTTTCAATCTTTTCAAAACTGATATAATTTAATCTATACCTTTACTATGTTTAGCATAACACCGGAGTCTGCAAGATGGCATTTATCTATAGGAGAAGTCGAAGCTGCCACAAAAGTGACCAGAATAATGGCAAGAGTCAATGGAAAAGAAGTTGAGAATCATGAAGAGTTATTGCAAGGAATTGCAGAGGTAATAAAACATATATTTGTGTGCATTATTGTGTTACAAAGGTGACCAAATTCATGACAAAACAATAGACAATGGAGAAGTACCTGAAAGTAATGCAAACTATGTTTCTATACAAATTGTAAGCTGCTAGAAAGAACTATGATTCAATTGCCAATGTTCAATAAATGAAAAAATGTGATAACCAAATGCAGTGAATGCTACCACAAAAGCAAAACAAGGCATCACAGACACCAACCATCAACGCTGTTACAAATGCCAAACGCTGTTACAGATGCAGTAACAGGCAATTAATTACTCTGCTCTGAACATGTCAAGGATATACAACTTACAAGTAAAAATCTCAATAAAACACTTTCAATAGGCTTTAGCAGACATTAGTTCTGAAGCTTCAAGTTTTGCCACTTTTGACATGCTTAGGGATGTTGGATTTCTTAAAAATTTGCACCAAACCTGCAATATTTCCATGTTGCACCTTGGATGGATGGTGACCTTTTGATATAAATATCTAAGCACAAGTGGCAGAGGGAAAGGACCAAAAGTTTTAATGGAACCCAGCAAGAAAAGGCAAAATCTAAGTATATACCATTCATAAGAGAAACAGACCCCATATGTCTGAAAACCATAATTCAAGACCAGAACACCAAGGGACATTTCATTCATACTAAAGTATATAAGTTTATTGACTTTGAAACTGTATCTTATCTGTCCCACATCATTTGAGTCTAAATGCTTTATATTGTATGAATACAACTATCCACAGATATCTATCTTAGCTCAAGAGCCAAAGGGGAGGGACAAAGAGTTGTAATGGAACCTAGCAAAAAAAGGCAAACTCTAGGTGTAAACCAGTCACCTACAACTATTTTTGATGTTATGAGTATTAGTTATCAATCTAAATTTATTCTTCAACATGTATTGTTATGGCTCCAGTATGAATGAAATGTCCCTTGGTATTATATCATGGTGTCTCTTGGTATTATGGATTGTGATGTGGGATATTAGACATTGTTGTTTTCAATGCACCTCTAAACTGATAATGGTTGATAGGGAAGGTTACTGGAAATCCTTCATTATATGACTCTGGTAAAGGAAATATTAAATCTGTTTTCATATCTTCAAACTTTTAGGAAGAACGGAAGAAAGAAGGAGGGAAGAAAGCCACCATTATTGACTTGTTCAGGACACCTAGGATGAGACGCATTACATTCATCGTCTATGCAATATGGTAAGAACCATATGTATGAAACAATTAGAACATACTTAATTCAAAACTTATCAACTGAAGAACTATTAACTAATAAAGTTATAATAATCAGCTTTGGACTAAAAATTATGCATAGTTATCATTGTTGTTTATTTAGGTTTGCATGTGTTTTTGCTAACTATGCAGTACATCTGAACATCGGAACACTTATTCCTGGAAACATTTACCTGAATATGTACCTAGTCTTAGGCCTCTCACAAATCATGGTATTACCAATCAAATACCTAACTTACTACAAAATTGGACGAGTAAAGGGGTTCATGCTTGCACTAATCACATCAGGATTGTTTTCATTCAGCATGATTGGCTTTGTCAGGTTGACAGGTAAGTATGAACATAACAATCTGATCACAATATAGCACCAAAGGGTGCTATCATAAACGACACCCCATGTATACAAGAATATATAATGCAAAATCAACTGCAGAAAAGGAAATGTGCACAAAAATGTAACTGCACATAGTTGATCCTTTTTAGGATGGCTTTTAAAGTATAAAATTTACCCATATTTTGAACACCTAATTAGATCTGTATTTTTTATACTGCAAACTGACAAAGATCCATACCATATTTTGACAATCGTTTCTTATTTCTGACTTCATCTTTCTAGACATAACAGCTCTACCTGCCGTTGCTTCATTACTTGGCGTAGCATTTGCAACTACAGCTTCAAATGTAGTATATTTATACAGTGGAGAGATCTTCCCTACACCAGCCAGAGCTGCAGGGTTGGGGGGAGGATCTAGCTTTGGTAGAATAGGTGGACTCATAGCACCACAAATACCACTTCTGGTAAGTAAGACTTAAAATCATGAAGAAGAATAATGAAATAGGTTGCAACTGAAACACATTCTTAATTAATATTTGGTAAAAAATTGTTGTGAATTTAAATGAGGAAGTGAGCGGTTGAAAAAATAAAATTAAGTACATGTATTCTAACCTCTTACCAGGCTAAAACATGGTATGGGTTACCATATGTTGTAATGGGAATTGTACCAATCCTAACTGGCATCATGGCTTTCATCTTACCAGAGACAATGGGCAAGCCTTTACCAGAGACTCTACAAGAAGGTGAACTATTTGGAATGTAAGTATTCTTCGATTGAAGGTCAATTTAATCAATAGATATAGGCATGAGTTTTGGGGATTTTTATGTCAATAATTCAACTTGCCCCTTATCGTAGTTCCAGGCCTAAGCAGATTAGTAATATGAGTTGTTCTGTAGTCATTCATGTATAAAGTATAAAAAAGACAAGTCACAGAAAATCAAATTCAACATTAGTTACAGATACTAGGTATTCATGGTGAAAGACTTAATGATAATGTAATATTTTATATGAAATAAAGAGGCCATTTTGAATTCAGGACTCATTTTAAGAATTCCTTCTTGAGCAAACTTTTTATATAGGCATCAGCATATAAAATTTGAACCAAATCTGTCAACTGGTATTTGAGTTAGATTACATTTTTAACAAAAATGATGGCCACACGAGTGGTCATATTGGAACTTGATTTTTGAGCAGATGTCCTTTGCCCATATGACATTTAGTGCCAACAAAAAGTTCTAAAAAGCAAGCCCAATGTCCTGTTTAAGAACCCATATTCTTACCATTGAAAATAAATTCTACCAATACTCTTCCACATGGAATCTACTTGTTGAGACTCGATCAACTTCAGTTCATCTGAGAAAATTATCATTTCAGCAAGGACGTCATTGACTTAATATGGGGATGCAATTGACTATGCAGGATTAAAGCCATTTGCATCCCCATGTTCAGTCAATGGCACTCTTACTGAATCACCATGAGAAATAACCTATGAGGGTTGGTTTGCCCTATCATACTAGATGCATGTAATTTCAGAGGAAGGAATGAAGAGATCCTGAATGGAAGATATGTTGGACCATATGCCATAGAAATGAGTGAAGTCACAATAACGGAGCAAACTGCAAACAATTCAACATCTAATCAGCTCAGTTTACCATCTATTGACCCTTATTACAGTGATTTGTCAAGACATAAGAGTGAAAGAGATTAAACAATCAATAATGAAAACAATATAATTTTTACTTGATAGTTAACCCCATCCAACTAACCCAGAATAGAGTTAATAATAGGACAGCATTCTCATGAAATGCTCCCTCATGAATTCATGAGTGTGGTTTGTAAAACTACACCATTGACACATTAAGTGTTGTTCTGCAAATGGGTACATGTGCAATGCAGGGCCATAATGATATATTTGAAGTGGATGTCTTGCAATCTTTATAAACAAAATAAAAGTGTAGTTTGATAACAATGTACATGGCACCTTTTCAAAAAGATAACCAAAAATGTATGAAGATTTCAGATTCTGCACGTGAACTATGCATGTCTTAGTTCATAATTGAAGTTCATTTATGACAAGCTAATCAAAATATCTGAATAATTGTTGTTAATTTTAGATATGAAATACATAGTGAATTAGAAAATTCAAATATTTGGGAAAATCTAGTTAATCTGCAGCAAAATTCATATAGAGTACTGCATGTGAAAGCATGTTCGAATCCAAGCGACTATTTTTAAAAACATGCTGTTTTTAAATATTTTAGTTTGTGATAAGCCATACAAAGGTCTGGGTGTCCTTTTAAATGTTATTAAAATTTTTGTTATTGTTTTATGTGAAAAATATTTAAACATTTCAAGACATGTACCAATCACAGCATTTTCAATAGCCTTGAAATACCAATTCCTTGGTTAAGTGATGTGTTATTTTTACTTTGGATGAGTATAGATTGCACAAAATTTCACAAAATTTTGTTGACTTTCCGTGTTCAAATTGTAATATAGACCTCAGATCAGATATCATTCATTCAAAATGCCAAACAACAGGAGAAACCTGTAAATATGGGGATACGATTTTGAATGGCTAGTTCAAGTTCAGCAAAACGATGTATTAATCAGCACACTTTGCCAACTAGAGCTCAATTTGACCTACATTTTTCAAGCTTGGTCCACTTTTTTCAATTGGGTCATGTTCAAATTGTTAAGGCTACCACGAGTACTGTCTGTTATCTCATATTACATCTGCACTGTCTTGTCTGTCAAAGTACCGCTACATAATGTATGAATCATTTCTACAAAAACATTTCGTGTTCTTGAATTCCATTGATTTATTGAAATTGAGGTGTAACAATGCACACTATTTACAAATTCTAACAAACATAAAATGGATAAAAATGCAAAAATGAATATGGAAGCAGAATCGAGAAAAAAGCCTAAAGCAGTCCCAAAGTCATATGATGCGCTTTTATCAGATGTCATAGGGCAGGGTTGGTACCAAATTCTGCACTGTGTTGGATTTATTATCAGCTCCACCTTCCCAAGTTGGCAATGGGCGTTTACCAACTTTACTGCTGCATACATGAACCATTGGTGTAAAGTCCCAGAACTTCAAGGCAGATTCAATGAGACAGTTTCCAAGAGTTTAAGCATTCCTTTCACAACAGATAAATCTGATGCCGAGTTCAGTAAATGTCACATGTATGCAGTTAACTACTCTGCTTACACAGATCAAGAATTACTCAATGGAGCCCACCAAATCAATGCTACAACAATGGTGTGTAATGCTGGCTGGAATTTTGATACCACCGAGTTTGAATCCACACTGATGAGTCAGGTAATATTTCAACCATTTCTGAATATTCCACAGAATATAAAAATGCAAAGCTAGATTATTCAGGTAATATTTCAACCATTTCTGAATATTCCACAGAATATAAAAATGCAAAGCTAGATTATTCAGGTAATATTTCAACCATTTCTGAATATTCCACAGAATATAAAAATGCAAAGCTAGATTATTCAGGTAATATTTCAACCATTTCTGAATATTCCACAGAATATAAAAATGCAAAGCTAAATTACTTAGTTGCCACTATGAAGTTACATGCAATTCTAAAAACTAATTTGAATTCTCCTTTTCGCAGTTCGCTCTTTGAATCAGAACGTTCGCAAATATGCACTGAAAAAGCACTCAAAAAAGACAAAATTTGATTGGTCAATATTTTCCCACTATGCATTTCGCGTAGATATTTGCGTGACACGAAAGTTCTAAATCAAACTAATTACTCAATTTTGTTTTTACACCTGCACGCTAAATAAAACAATGACACCATCGTAAGTATTCTTCTTTGTCATTGCTTTAATGGTCAGTATACCGAGTTTAATCAATAAAAGATTGTACAATGAACAACAAAATTCGGAAACGAGTACTATACATTTGCTTTCGGACCACTGAACAGATTGACCTAGATAATAGCGACGCGTCTTCTTTGGTCTACTGCTCAGTTGTTTGTGGGTTTTCAACGTAACTCTATAATGTAATTTGAAGATGAATACTTTCATTCAGTTGTTGCATCGATGTCGCAGTTTGTAGTGCGGTAAGATTGGCATGAAAGTATTGAAAGTCGAATGGAAGTGTTTTTTCCAATATGGCGACTAGTCTACTGATCACGTGACCTTCTTGTCCGGAATATTTTCTCATTTTTCAATCATCGTTTTCACCACGCTATGAATTAATACAATGAAAAAAATAGCTGTTATATTAAGATTAATGAGAGATCAATCGTTTCTAATAATTTTTTCTGTACTCTCGTACGGGAATATGAACGAATATATCGTTTGAAAAATAGGTGTGAAAATCCCCATGTTAAACCTATGAGGGAAAATAAGGAAGTATAAATTTGTTCCTCCGCGAACTGCATCATGGGAAATATTTTGCCCTTATAAGGAAAGATTTTCGCATCTTCTCTTTTGAAGAGGGAACAACGATTTCGAGAATTGACTTTAGATGCCCAGTAGTAACATATTTCTACTGAGATAGTGAGGAATTTAGCAAGGGTGTATTCTAAGACACAGTGTGACATTGGAGTGCACAAACAAGACCCTCTCAAGTTTCATTTTTGTGTTATGTTATTGTCACATCACGAAATACTGGATATTTGAAAAGAAATCTTATCTTAAAGAGAACTCTAGGAGTCACTTTTAAAGTGTGTGTGAAACTATATAGAGTGTGCAGGTGTCTGTACCCAGGGACTATAAATAGGCTCAACCAAAGTTTTGCAAGTCTAGCTATGTATGTAACATATTCTATATCACAAATACGTATTCAAGATGTTACTCCTAAGGTATATTTTCATGTTATAGTTTTGGATGAATATTGAAAATGTACAGCATTACATGTATTTATAAATACATACATAAAATATCAGCATGTCGTGGATGATTGTACGACAATATACATACATAATTACATGCACAATTTACTGGATATATGTATAATTCATTGTATGTAATGTATATTTTGGGACTGTGAAATGCTTCATCTCAAGATAATCAAAATGTGCCACACATGTATCAAAAACGGGATGTGTACACATTAATTTTACATTTTTTATAAATCTGACATTATGTGGCTAAAGCACTCTGATACTTGTTTATTTCTGCCTAATAACAAACACGCCTACAACCAAAAAAAAGTAAAAAAGTAAAAAACAGTTATACAATATGTATTCCTTCAGGAATCAAACCCACATGCGGCACCTGAGGCAAGAACTCTGCCAACAGAACAACTGATCAATTAAGATTGCAATTAAGATAATGGAAACAACGAGACAGTCAAGTCGATACAGTCAAGTCTCAAGCATTTAGGAAAACCAAGAATTATTTTGTATTGCACGAAAGGTTCAATACAGTACATACATCCCTTCAAAATGAATAAACCCTTCTTATATAATCCAAAACTGTTAACACTTTTGTCAACATAGCTAATTTTATTGAGTCCCTTTAAAAAGCTATTTCTTTATTCCAATGACCAAATATATTGCATGTTAAAGTACTAAAATTTGTCTGTGAAGAAAATAGGTTGAATGAGAATGAGTAAAGTTATGTGAAGTTCATATGTAGAATCAATTGTACCTTTCTAAAAATTTAGTTTGCCTCTCCAGGGAAATATGTATTCATACACTTAATTATTAACTAATTGCTATATATGTTACAGTAGAATATATGTTTTTTTATGCATTACAGTTCAATCTTGTTTGCGGAAACGAATACCTGACTACATTTGCTGCATCTGCTCAGATGCTTGGTTTCTTCTTTGGTGCATATATTTCTGGACAAGCCGCAGATAGGTCAGAAATAATTTTTTAATAATAATTTCAATAATTTTTCAAAAAGAGTTATTCATTCAGTGAGTTATCTATAATTGTGCATGGAGGAGGTTCCAAGGTGACACGATGCACAACCATTGCATATCAATACTATATATTTGAAATACATGAGCTCCTTGTGTCTATTCATTTCTCCTTTACATGTATACTGTAGGTGGGGAAGGTTGAGAACAGCTAGAGTTTTTACAACATTACAGTTTGCTTTAGCAATGGGTGCAACATTTTCACCAAATTACATCGTCTACCTAGTTCTGAGGTTTCTTTCAAGCATGACTGGGATAGCTGCATATACCCCGCACTATACAACTTGTAAGCTACACATACAGTACTGTTAAATACATCTTTTGTAAATGGAAAAATATGAATATCCAGTATAGATATAAGAGACTAAACTTTGATTACATACATATCAATTAATACACTTCCAAAAATATATACTACATATAATCATTATATCAATAAGACTAGTTTTCTCTATGCCATGCAATACTGTTTATACACTGTGGCTAGTCGATCTATGTGGATGCAGTCAGGCACATGTAATGTTTCGTGAGTACCCGCCTCTGTACTTTTCAATGGAAGAATTTTGCTCTTCTGTTTAAATAATCTATATTTACTCATCCGTGTATATCATACTTCATTGATTTACAAAACCAAAGCTACGCTATAAACACACATTCTCTGATATTTTTATGGAGAATAGATAACTCAAACGAGTTCACTCGACCGGTTTTATCATCTCGCTCACAGCTGTGAGAAGGCTGTATAATTTGCTATAGGTTTACCTTGTAATGGGGAATAAAAAATTCAAGTAATATAATTATTTCACATATACACAAATATGTCTGTGTGAAGTAAAATACAAATACAATGCGTTCTATAATATTTTTGGGGTTATGGTATGAAATATCCGCTTTAAAAAAGCAATTCAATTATGATGTATCATGTGGATTAGTAGACGTTCTGATTGGATTCATTGAACAGACTGGCTAGGTTTCAATTGAATCATTTTGAATGTGTGTATTTTTAATATTTTAATCCACAGTGTCAAAAAACAATAATAATGCTATATTGGTAATTGGAAAGATTCCACTTACCACGATTTCCAAAAATTGTAAATAGATAATATTATTCTTGAATTATGGTCATTTGTTTCAAGGAACCTGGAGGCTCGTTCAGCTGAGCTGACAAAATCATCAAGATTTACGGATGGTCCATCTGTTGGCTGCTCATTGCCCGCTCATTGTCACTTTCAAGGAATGTTAATGGCTCTGAAACTGGTAGCCTTGCCCAAGTCGGTATTTATTTACTTATCTGATCTTGAATTATTACAACCTTAAACAATCCAATGCATCATCGCTGATATTATGCTAAGTTAGTCAGCGGTTCCGAGATTCCCATAATACCTAGGCTACCTAACGGTATCGCAAAACCATATTGATTGACAATATGGACATGGACACAACGTGTGACTTCAGGCTGATTGACCAATCAAAACGTTATCAGGTTGACCTGCATAAAAAAAGCAAACTACCCGTCTAGGACTTGAAATCCAATGATCTGATCGAGTTTTTCTTGAGAGTTACAATATATTATGTTATTAAATGTTCATTGGAAATTAAGCAGTCATTAATACTCGTCTAAATGAAATCATGTAATTCAATGTTGATTCAAAATCAAAACTGAATTCTCGAAGAAATGCACGAAGACCTAGTCCGGCAATGTAGGCTCGTCGTTGATTTTTCAAATTTTACCGACAAAAACATTGGGTCGGTAAAGCACGTGGCTTTCTTTTGGGTACAAGGCGGTCATAATAGAAATCAAGATAAGTAAAAGAGACCGACTTGGGCAAGGCTATGAAACTTGATTTGTGGGTATTCTAGTGGGTTGATGGGTCTTTTGCTCTGAATTCACTTCATTGGCGTACCTAATTTCAACATTTTCATTGTCATCATTACATGTTATGGACCTGTTTTTCAAATGAACAGTATTAGCGATAAAACCATAGTTTTTGGCTCACACAGTAAGCCTATGGGATCGTCCAGGCGTCCTTCCATTGGTCCGTCCGTCCGTCCGTCCGTTTGTCAACATTTGCTGCACAAATTAAAACTGCTATTCGGATTGAGTCATTTCCACATTCATTTTATGCATATCCATAATGTCTATTTGACCTATCATCACCATTTCCCAAGTTCGCCCGGTTTCCGAGAAATTGCTGATTTTTAAATTTCGAGAAAAATCGATCTGATGATAGCCTTATAGAAAGTCAAGAGAAGTGAAGAAAAGATTGAAAAAATACCAGTCCAGTCCATTTCCAGGTCCAAGTCCAGGTCCAGGTCCAAGTCAAGGTCCAGTTCAGGTCCAAGTCCAGATCTAGGTCTAATCAGGTTTTATCTAGGTCAAAGGTCAAGAACTAGGTCAAATCCAGTACTTTGTCATTTTTTTCAATTTTCTAAGTCGCCCTTCAATATTTTTGCTACGTTTTTTTTAATCATGTTCCTTGGAAAAAAGCTAATCCCTACGGGCAAGTTGTTTTTGATCACTCTTACCGTTTTTGAGATATGGCATCCGAAAAGTAGGTCACAATAAAAACTTCTTGGAATTCAATGTATGAGTTATGAAATAGAATTGTCCAAAGAATCCGAATCTGCAAACCAGATTTTGATCCGACTTCCGGTTCGGAAGTTATGGCATTTTGAAATCTCAAAAATCGTTATGGGGCTTGGGAAAATTATCAATTGTAACAACACAGCACTAGATACAGTTTGGACGCAGCCAACTTAATAAGAATCTACAATAGAAGCCGTCCTGAAAATCTACTTTCCTTCAAAATTTGGACACTAAAAGGCCTAGGTCAAAATCTAGGTCAAATTCATAGTTTTTCCTTTGACTACAACAAATCATATTTGAACCAACAACAAAGGACTCATCTTTTATTGATATCATATTTACCAATACTTTTGTTTGAAAATCAGGATATACATTCCTCTGTAGGTTCTACACTGTGTGAGCAGGACTGTGGGTCCTTTATTTCATCTGTTATGGCATTTTCAGTTGATGGGTTTATATATAGTATTTTCAATTTTTCATGAGGGTGTCTTTAGACTACTTGTAATGGGGTGGCTAATTACTTTAATGAATAAGGAATGTTTATCCGAACAATGTATACAAAGAAAATCTGGCCAGTTGTCCATCAGTAAATAAATCATCATGATAAAAGTATAATTTATTAAAGCATCCATTTGTTACCGTTCTAAATCCAAATGATACATAGGTGCATCCATTTTATACATATATGTTGATGTTTACGAAATGTTTTTCAAATATCTTCTCTATCACAGGAATATGGTAGCTGAAACTTTCACACATTGTCATACTATGTATATTGAATATGTATGCAAGATTTCAAGTCACATTAATGTTAAGTAGAAACTCTGAGATCACTTACTTCGATTTGCTGTCATATTTTTGCAATGATCCCATTCCCTATAACGTACGCGAGTACCCATGATACATTACATATAAATGACTGCATCCACATAGATCGACTAGCCACAGTGTTATACGGATGATACATGTTATAATGTAGTCATGCAACTTTCAAATACGCAGGTGTGGAGGTGCTTTCATCGCGTGGTAGGAGCACATACGCACTAGTATCTAGAACTTCTGGGGTCATCATCGCTGCCTTTCTTCCACTGACTGCGTACTTTATAAGAAATCATATCACTCTACAAATTGTAGCAGCAAGCCTAATACTACTATCTGTTGTCATAAGATGGTAAATATTCATTGACATGAGTTTTGTCAAAAACTCATTTAATTACATTTGAAACTAGACAACAGCAACGTCAAAGCATAGCAAATCCCATCGAACAGCCATTGCTGGCATTTTAAAATAGCAAAAATGGCAGCCATTTTTCAAAATGACAAATCTTCTTAGTATAACTCCATTTTTAGCATAACACCAGAGTCTGCCAGATGGCATTTATCTATAGGACAAGTAGAAGCTGCAACAAAAGTGACCAGAATAATGGCAAGAATCAATGGACGACAACTTCCAGAGAACTACAAGCAGATGATTCAAAGTGTTGCAGAGGTACTACGAATACATGTATCTTCATGTTTACATGCTTTGTAAGACGTTAAATGATGATCAAAAGTGTGCCAATAGAAGTGATGCAAGTAGAATTCAAACATGACTGTATTCACGCCTTCTATAAACTGTAAACAGCTGGGTTTTAATCGAGATCAATAACCCAGTTAATACATGTAATGTGTGACGTCATTACGGCGGGTCGTAGTAATGGCGGACCATGATGAATATTCGAAACAATTTGGTGCCGTGGTCATGTTTGAATCGTAATATAGACCTCAGAGCAGGGGTAATACCGTTGAATACACACCTTGGGGCTAGGCACAAAAGCTTTCGAACCCCTCACTCCTTTCGGTCGTTCGGGGTACAGAAAACGTTTGTGCCTAGACCTGCGGGTTGTATTCGACAATATAACTCCTGCTTTTCGGTCTATATTTCTTAAATAATCTTGTTTTTTATCATTAAGTATAGACTCAGAATTTAGGGAAATTGACATCATAAAATTAGAGAGATCAATATGTAACAAGGTTTAGAATTATCACATGAAAAATCGTTTGGTATTGTTATACTGCAAAAAAGTGGAATGACAAACGAAAACTAGAAATCACATCGGTCATAATGAAAAATACACCAATTACTTTCAAAATGGATTTAATTATCACATTAAGATTTGTTTTAGGAGGAATGCAAACACAAGGGAGGAAAAAAGGCTACCATCATTGACCTATTTAAGACACCTAGATTGAGACGAAATACATGCATTGTCTACTCAATATGGTAAAGATATACGATATCAAATAATCTATAATTAAATCAGGGTATAGTCTCTGTTCAAAGAGGCCTTGCTTGCTGAATGGCTTTGAAATATAGGTGAATTATCGTTTTAAAGATATTTTATGAGATTTGCCATCAAATATTAACTGTCTACTTTTGATATACATAAAGGTAACATTTGTAAGCAATTGTGATTACACAATCTAATGATGTTAATGATTTCATATAAGACCAACTGTTTTCATTCAAAATAGACCATAATGACATCACAATAATCAAAAAAGAGAAGAATATGTATAATTTTGAGATAAATGTTGAAGATGAACTAAAATTCTTTCAATTCCTTAATTTTTATTCTTTCAAAGTTGCACATTGACTTAACCAGTTATCCCTTGCAATAGTGCTGTACTTTTTATTCTTATTAAGGACATCTTTTGTTCAACCTATTCGAACACAAATTATTTATCACACGACATAGACAATTCTCTAAGCTTTCCTATGATACCAAATTTTCCCATAGGGTCAGTTGAACTATTAAACTCATAATTTATTTCTTTGGCCTACTCGCCTATTATGAACCAGTCAATGATCAAATATCAGTAAATTATTTTCATTCATAAATTGCTTTGAGGTTTTTGTTAAATATTGTATCTTAACATGCTCCTTTACTTATGATTTCAGGTTTGCTTGTGTTTTCGCAAACTATGCAGTACGACTGAACATAGGAACACTCATTCCCGGGAATATCTACCTAAATATGTACATAGTCCTAGGACTTTCTAGTGTCTTGGGGGCTCCAGTTAGTTACATTGTTCTATACAAGATTGGGCGAGTGAAGGGATTTACGCTTGCACTAGTCTCTTCAGGACTGTTCTCCCTCAGCATGATCGGCATAGTGACACTGACAGGTAAGAAAGAAGTTACCACAAAGAAAGTCTGCATATCATCTTTTGTAACATTTGGTTTCCCTGTGTCTTTTATAGCTTGCTCTTTTGACTCTTAAAGTGAGAATACAAACGAGAGCACAAAACAGCATGAATTATACAAAAATGACATTTAAAAATGCTAATTTCTTACTTGGATTTTTCAGATATACCTTTTCTGGCTGCTGTTACTTCATTGATTGGCACTGCATTTGCAACTACAGCTTTTGGTATTGTATATGTGTACAGTGGGGAGATCTTCCCAACACCAGCCAGAGCTGCTGGATTGGGGGGAGGATCTAGCTTTGGTAGAATAGGGGGACTTATAACACCTCAACTCCCACTTCTAGTAAGTATGGAATCCATGCTCATCCATGTAGGTCAAAATTGAACAATTAGACTGCTTATTTGTTAAAAATGCATTCAGTGACTACTTTGAAAATTAAACAAAATGAACTACTTTATCATTATTTATTACTTTACTTTACATGTATAATAAAGCCTCTAAAAAAGCAGTTCAGAGTTTTTACCCAATAATTTTTATAAAACATTGTTATTTACATTTACAATTTTGTTCTAATCAGTGTTAGCATCTGTTGAGGAATCTAGAAAAGTTGGGAGGAGATCAAAGATAGGCTTCCTATACTTTGCACTCAGAAATTTAGAAACCTGAGAGAATGATCCTCATCACCTGAATCAATCCAATCTATATCTGATGGAATCATGAAGTGCATTTTATCATTCAATTTATCCTAGGCCAAGGCATGGTATGGACTCCCATATCTCGTAATGGGAATCATACCAATCTTAACTGGCATCATGGCCTTGCTTCTACCAGAGACAATGAACAAGACTTTACCAGAGACTCTACTGGAGGGTGAACTATTTGGAACGTAAGCTTCTGTATATTTATTTACCCCTAAAAATGTACATTGATACAGAATGTATCTATATTAATTGAAGGGCAGTGAAGCAACATTAGTTTATTCATCATATGTGTGGTCATTTTTATATATACAGTAGATGTCCATTTGGGGTTTCTCTTCAATTCTTGGCCAACTGATTATATATATCATGTACATTTTGGGGTTCTCTTTAATTCTTGATCAATTGATCATATATACCATGTACATGTACATTTGAGGTTCTCTTCAATTCTTGGTCAATTGATCATATATATTATGTACATGTACATTTGAGGTTCTCTTCAATTCTCGGTCAATTGATCATATATACCATGTACATGTACATTTGGGGTTCTCTTCAATTCTTGGTCAATTGATTATATATATCATGTACATGTACATTTGAGGTTCTCTTCAATTCTTGGTCAATTAATCATATATACCATGTACATTTGGGGTTCTCTTCAATTCTTGATCAATTGATCATATATTATATGTACATTTGGGGTTCTCTTCAATTCTTGATCGTTCATATATTATATGTACATATGGCATTCTCTTCAATTCTTGGCCAATTGATTATTTATACCACGTACATGTACATTTTGGGGTTCTCTTCAATTCTTGGTCAATTGATCATATACAGTGCGTATCAAAAAACGCAACAGATTGTTATCTCGGAAAAGCACAAAACCAGTGATAACGGCATTGATTTCATTCAATGCATCATAAAGCCATGTGTCTCCTCTTTACACTGATATCTCATTCATTGATATTTGGTCATGGTTGGGTGAGTAATCATTCCATATGCAAAGTGGGCCAAAATTAGCTTCGGGCCAAGTTATAAACATTGCAAAAGTCAGTGTACGGAGCCCGATGCAATATTGGACAAAAACATAAAACCAATGCTGACTGCATTTTTTTAATTCAATGTACCAAAAAGCCAAATTACTCCTCTTTGCAATGGAATATCATTCATTCACAGGGAGTCATCTCTGGCCGAATAATCATTAATTTTGCAAAGTAGGGCAAAATTCAGCTCAGACCCAAGTTTAAAAGATTGCAAAAGTCAGTACAAGGGGCATAGGGGCTATTGGAAGAAGGTGTGACAGGTATGGCATAGACAGTAAAGTGTTCGTACTCATACTCTTGCAAGAATACATCCTATACCCCTCCAAATTGCCACCACTTCCTTGCACATAAAGATGCGCTCATCTGTCCACGTCATGCATGGTTCAGCCCTGAATCATGTGTGGGTTAAAGCAAATAAAAAGCAGCCCATGGGCAAATCTTTCTTGAGGTTTTGCAACATATGGTGGAGGAATTGTGAGCACAGATACTCCTGAGATAGCTCCAAAAGAAAAAGTCACAACAATTCAAGTCAGGGGAACTTACATTGGCACTTAGATTAATTACTCCCAAAAGTGGAGGTTCAAGATAAATGTTTCAAAATCAAGGGTGATAACATTTGGTGAGTCGAAACCTGTAAATGAGAAACTACGGAAAATACACGAGTGGCCTATTCAAAACGAGCTGTTAGTTGAGGTTGACCAATGTAAACATCTCGGAAACATATACCAAACTTCGATGAAGAACACTGCTGCAGTCTCCAGCGCGTGTCATAAGTTAAAAGGCTCTTTCGCATCGCTAGCGGGAATTGGTGTGCATCCGAAGGGTCTCACCCCTTTGACTGGCATACATCTAATTAAGACCATTTGTATTCCCACTGCACTTTACGGATGCGAGCTGTGGTTTAATATCACAAAATCGGAAATTCTTAAATTAAAAATTGCTCAACGTTTCATTCTCAAAAGTCTGTTTGAATTATTCAAATCTACCAGAACTGATATTGTATACGCTTTAACTGATCTTTCTGTTTAGAGCAAGTTTGCTTTACGGCGGAAATCACCGGCAGGCGGGATTCGTCGCCGACATATCAAACATTCTGAAAACATACGATTTGGAACAATACCTGATTCAATATCTAGACAGTGGTGATTTTCCAAATAATATCTTGTGGAAACGCATTTGCAAATATGTAGTCAGACAACGCTTCCTAGTTCAGAGTGAATCTCAACGCAATGACATCAAAATTTCCATTTCTGTTTTGAGAGCTCATAATCTTTGGAACTTAGCCAGGAAACGGAATTATCTACTTCCGTATATTCTCACAGCAGTCAAAGTTTTAGCCATGCCCGTCAATGACTCCACACTTCTTTGCGACAGATGTGGCAAATTCTATAAGGATGCCATAAATCACATGCTAATGGACTGTAATGAGTACAGTCACATGAGGAATAAACTCATTAATGACATTGCGTTACCCAACAACCATCCAGCGTTCGATCCAAGAGAAATTTGTGCTTCTGTGTGCGGCCATGCCTCTGAGTCATTTGAGATACAGAACTTAGAGCTCATCCTGAGATACATTCATTTAGTGATATCAGACTCAGGGATTAGTCTTGTACCTTTATTTGCATGAACTTGCAGAATCTTGTAATCTGAAATTTTTATATTACTTTTAAAGATTGTAAATATGTTGTGACCTTGTTTATGTTTATGTTTTACATTTGGGGTTCTCTTCAATTCTTGGTCAATTGATTATATATATTATGTACATGTACATTTGAGGTTCTCTTCAATTCTTCGTCAATTGATCATATATTATATGTACATTTGGGGTTCTCTTCAATTCTTGGTCAATTGATTATATATATCATGTACATGTATATTTGAGGGTTCTCTTCAATGCTTGATCATTCATATATTATATGTACATGTGGTCGTTCTCTTCAATTCTTAGTGAATTGATCATATATATCATGTACATGTGCATTTGGGGTTCTCTTCAATTCTTTGTCAAATGATCATATATATAGTATATCATGTACATGTTATTCCAGAGAGAAGTATGATAACCTGTATAAGGAGAAAAATGAAGGAACAAGTCAAGCTGAAACAGATAGTACAAAACCCCAAACTTTAAACAATTGCTATTCAACTGGACATCAGTTTGATTCAACATCTATTGATCCCTACTATACCGATTTGCCAGGACGTGGACATATGTGAGACTACTTGTATATATAAATAGTCCCTCCAGGGTTTGCCTGCTTTGTTGGTATATCATATATATTGTAGGAGTGCTGCTACAAGCCTGTGTGACCCATCCTTCAAAAACAAATCACTTCCACAAATTGAAGTAGATAGGGAAGGAGGGGGGGGGTCAACAGATTTGATGCTACTGAGTTCACAATTGTTTCACTAGAAAAGATTCTAGATGAAGTCTATAATCTGCACACATTGTAGTACTATCCTATACTAATCATATTCAAATAAATATCTACAGTATATCTATAAAGGTAGTTTTGTATGTTCAGATATTTTGATGGCTTCCTAAACAGTTCCATGTTATTTTCGGTACAAATAACTCATTCTATGCTTGGTCTACAATTTTTAGATTTAAACAATGAGTACACAACAATAATACCTAGATTATCAATTGAGTAGAAATAGATATTTTAGAGAAATAATTCAGTGACCTACATTTTAGTACCTTTAAAAAGCAGATCGCTGAAAACATTGGATTGAAAGCAATGATCTCCACAGGATTTTTTCTCTCAAGTGGGTGCAAATATTTCATTTTCATAATTCGGACAAAAATTGGTCAAAATCTATTTTTCATGAATTTTTCTCATTTTCAAGTGGGTGTAAATGGATTCTCAGGTGGGTGCAAGCCTGTATTTTTCAAAATCTGAGGAGATCACGGGATAGAATATTTTATTTGAAATAAATTAGTGTCCATACCTCCAAAATCAATCGTTCTAGAATCAGCTGAATAGCTTTAGACACATTCAGTCTACTCCACTGTCTATCAATCTCATTGTGTTGCATTGCTGCCACTGCCCTGTAAAATAGACTAAATACATGTACATGTATGTTGCACATAATATGTCAAGGTATAATAAGTCATATTATGTCATATGAAACATATGAACTAAATTGAGAATATATCCAGCTTCTCAGTACATGTAGGTTTGAACCTCAAGTGAACCTAAAAGTGAATCCCA